GATAGATAGATAGATAGATAGATAGATGATAGAGATAGAGAGAGAGATAGATTCTTTTGGATGATTCATTCTAAGATTGACAAATCAGTTGGGTAGCAAATCATACATTCATTAACTGGCATTTTAATATGGGGGCCCTCTGTGTAGAAATGGCTTTAAAATATTTCTCTTTTTAAAGGGGCCTGTGGGATGCAGAATGGAGAAGGAGTTAGGTTTTGTGGCTGTTGAGGACACAGTCCATTACCAGTTATTCCTGATACATGAATCAGAAGACCCAGAATATCTTCAAGACATCCTACAACAATATATTGAAAAAATACTAGCACATTTTGCCCCTATCCTGGTTTCCTACATCTGGCAAAATGAGTCATTTAATCTAAAGTACAAACCTGCAAAAGGTAAAACAATGCTATCTAATGCTGTCTTTATACACACTAGCAATTGTACTGTAACATTCTCTTCCTCCTTCAGCACTTAGCAGTGGATGTTTTGGAAAATGAGGGGGGGGAGTGGTATTCCCACTGTGCTAGTGGCAATGTTCTTCACAGCTTATTTTCCCAAGAAACAACATGGTTATTATTGTTTATGTTTCAAATTGAGATAGCTTGAAACTGTTTTAAGTTTGAATAGTCATACAAAACTTTTTAAAAAAAATAGGCGTATGTTTTTATATTATTATATATCTATCTGTTGTTTAAAATGGTAAAATTATAAAAAATTCTAAACCAAAGATGATTAAACTATGGATGGCAAACAGTTTACCAACCCCCATTTTTCTGTACCCACAACATCCCCAAATCACATGCCAAAATTTGGTGATGAAATTGCCAACTTTCAGTAATGCAGTTTTCCGCAGCAAAGCTGTCATTTTTGGCAGCATAAACAATTGGGAAAAACCAGGAAAAATGTAATTTTTCTCCAGTGACTTCAATGAGATATTCTCCTAACCCTTTGAAGGGCAGACAGGCCAAAAGGATTGCCCATACCCATTCAGTTGTTTATCCTAATTATGAGAAAATTGTACTATTCCTTTCTCTATCTCTTAAACTTGCTGTTTTCTTGCTTTATCTTCTTGCCAATCTCTAGTACTGAATACAGGATTTTAAAAAAATATTGTTAATTATGTAAAATAAGTTCTAACGAATTGTTATCCCCAAAAAATTAAATGCTTAAAGCAGACAAAGAGTAATACAAAGGGAAAAAATGAAGCTGCTCTGTATATGTGAAAAATTTGCAATTATTCCAATAACAGTTATTTTTGACGTAATTACAATAAGATAATCCATTCTTTTACAGGTAGTCCTCGACTGAAAGCCACAATTGGCTCCAAAATTTCTGTTGCTAAGAGAGAAATTTGTTAAGTGAGTTTTGCCTCATTTTACGATCTTTCTTGCCACAGCTGTTAAGTGAAACACTGCAATTGATAAATTAGAAATCCAGTTGTTAAGTGAAACTGGCTTCCCTATTGACTTTGCTTGTGAGAAAGTCACAAAAGGTGATTATATGGCCCTGGGACACAGCAACAGTCATAAATATGAACTAGTTTCCAAGCATCTGAACTTTGATCATAGGGATCAAAGCACAGCAGTCGTAAGTGTGAACAATGTTGATTCCATATCATGGGAAGGCTGCAATGGTGTGAAAGATGGACATAAGCCACTCTTTTCAGTGCCGTTGTAATTTTGAATGGTCACTAAACAAATGGTTGTAAGCCAAGGACTACCTGTACTTAAAAGCTGTCAGACTGCTCTGGGACTCTATTTACAGTGTTTGTTAAATAACAAAGAGAAAGTTATTTCTGAAAAAATAGCAAAATTTTGCTACATTATTTATAAGTTTTTCTCACAAATGCTTGCTAATAATCCTTATTGTTGGGATCGTTTTGTGTTTCATTGATTGTAACTTTTATCGGTCAACTGATTTAAATCAAATTCTTCTGTCTCACTTTGGTTTGTTTGTTTTTATATGTATGGATTGAATGTTTTAGGCCCAGGCATATGCTACTTAAGTTTTGGTATTGTTTAATTGCTTTTAATCTTTTATGATCTGTCCTGAGTTGCTGTAAATTATGATCTGTCCTGAGATGTTGCAAATTGATAAATAAGATACTGATACTAGGATTGACTGCCAAATATTTTTTTGAAATAATCTAATAACTTCTGTTCTTTCTAGGAAATCTACCTGCTCATATTACTGGTCACACAAAGTTTGGAGATAACATTGAAGATGAATGGTTTATTGTTTACCTCATAAAGGAAATTACAAAGGAATTTCCAGAATTATTAGCTAGGTATTTTTATTTGCTGATTAAACAGACTATGATTTTAGCTGTTCTTTGCAGTGTCTGCAAAGCATTCTTTGCAGACGCTTTACTGAAATAAAATTTGGGGAGGATTTTTTTCTGTGAATAAAGACTGCATTACAGCATGGTATCCATATGCATTGAATTAAATTAGGGTACACTAATTCCATGTAATGAGTAAATACTCTATTTATTTGAATAGAGTGGATGACAATGATGGTGAATTCCTTCTGATAGAAGCAGCCGACTACCTTCCAAAATGGTTGAATCCTGAAAACAGCATCCATCGGGTAAGAGACTTAAGAATGTCAAATACCTAAAAAGCTAATTTTTTGGAATAATATTGTAATCTTATTTTGAATTTATTATGTTTTTTCAAGATCCTTTCAGTCATAGACTTGATAATTTTTGACACACTTTCAAAAAACTTTCAGATTTAATAAATTTATATATATATATATGTATTTGTCAGGTATTCTTTCATAGTGGAGAATTATGCATAATTCCATTGCCAAAGACTGCTGAAGGGAAGAAATTACTACCTGGTATAAACCCTACAATTCCCCAGGTCCTGAAATTGTTTTCTGGCCATTCTGAGGATTTTGTGGCTTCAAAATCTATTAAAGCAGCAGTATATAAACGCATCAATGGGTAAGTGACTGAATCTGAATATATATATTCAGATATATATAACAACATATATACTGTTACAACTGTATATGCAATACCTGCTATGCTGGTTCATACACATTTATTAATAGTAGCAGTTTTTTACCATATTTGGAAGTAATATCATGCAACATTTTACTGAAATAAAAATAAATAAAATATTGCAGATTACCCAGTTCTTCCATTTATATTCTGCCTCTACCAGGATTATCTCTCTCTTTCTTTTTTTTTTTGCACCTCATTGCAATTTTGTGCCCTAGGTATCCTAAGAAGATCCAGACTTGTCTTCATCGAGCTCACTGTTATCTTCCAGCCGGCATTGCAGTAGTTCTGAGGCAACGTCCTGCGTTAGTGTCAGCAGCAGTCCAAGCTTTTTACCTTCGAGATCCCGTTGACTTAAAAGCCTGCCGCATTTTCAAAACCTTTCCCCCTGAAACACGTGTGATGGCATCAGTAAGTGGAGATTAAGCTTCTGAATTAATCTTCACAATTAATTCACCTTATCGTATGTGGTTTATGAATGATTTGTTTGGCATTTTAATTTTGTCCTTTTTTTTAGGTACAAGTCTAACCTAACTTGTCTAATTTTCAATCTCTTATATAATTCTACAAGAGATTGGAGATTAGGCAAATGAGGTTAGACCTGTACTATAGAATTACAATTATACTATAATTAGTATATAGTATAATTATAGTATAGTATAATTAGTAAAATAAAACAGGGGTCCCCAACCACCGGGCCGCGGACCGGTACCGGTCCGTGGATCACTTTGCACCGGGCCGCAAAGAAAATAAAAATAAAAAATAAAATAAAAATTGCAGCTTTCTTCGCCTTCGGTGAATGCTGCTGGGATCAGGGATCAAGGACACAAATGAAAGAAGGGGAGGGAGGAAGCAACCAAAGCCTGTCCTACTCTCTGGCTCAGTGGCTTCGGTTTCCTCCCGCCTCGTTCCTCTCTCAGTCGCTCTCTCGCTCCTCCACCAGCCCAGGAAGAAACTGCTTGAAAGAAGCCGGCAGAGTGGCTTTTCCTGTTGGCGCAGCTCCCCCAAAGCGCCCGTTCACCCCCACCCCGCCGCCAATCAATCCAGGTTCAATCCAGTGCTCCGT